ATGTATTATTCATTCTTTGAAACATGGCGAAACGATGCAACATGTAGTACTCAAATTTCTTAGAATTCTACTTCCTGATTGATTGCTAGTTTCCATTAAAAAGACACATGGAGTGATGAGCTGATAGTCTCTTGCAAGAACTGAACTGTCAAGGGTTGCCCACTCGTTGACAGTTCTAAGGGAGGATCACAATGATGTGTGTGGCTGTTTTGGGCCAGTCACCACTGCCCTTTCATTATTCTCTTCATCCTTCATGTTTGGTAAGCTTGTTGAACATTTACTTCCAGTATATAACATAAGGTCTTGCTAGCAGTCCTTCAATTAACCCGCATTTGTTTCTCTTCTTTACAGAGCTTGCTGAAGAGGCAAATAGGCTTGTGAACTAAGGTTGTCTCTTCTCTTTTTTTGTGCTATCTTCTTGTTGCACACTGCAGTATTAAAGCAGCTGGATAGACACAGTGTTGTCTTCATTTGTTGCATTCATTGTATAACTAACAAATCACAGCAGCATTATATGATTACTCTTCAATCCCTTGAAGTTTATATTTGATGTAACAGGCATGAGTTAAAGACAAACCTTCTATAATCATGTTGTGTAGTCATAACATATGAGTTAATTTAAAGGTTTGAACTGTTAGATGGTTAGGTTCCTGATCAGGCACTTTGGTAATACCAATTTGAAAATGGCATTTTCAAAAAAGTTCCAGATATGACTATTTAATCTTGTTTAACCAATTTGTCCTTGTTTATTCATGCATGAACTTCATTTTAGGCACAATTTGTAAAAAATAGATGTCTAACCATACTTAATGATGCTGATACATAGATCATTTCTCCAGTTATATCACTTATCTCTAACTACTTAAAGGCTAACATGAACTTGATTTCTGCAGTGGAAGCTCTTGGTGAAAATAGTTGAACAACTGGTAAAAAAGGCTGGAATTTCAATTGAAACATTATGAACAAAAACTTGAACTGGCAAACACCAATAGTGGACTCCTCCCTTATGTATGACTGTACTGTCAATTGCACTGCCTTTCTGATGATGAATGCCACATCATGTCCACGTATGTTCCTTTTTATGTTTTTTTAAAATATCTTATTATTCAACTCAATTTTTGCTTAAAATTGTTATTTATGATTTATTATTTTTAATTAGAGGAATGATGTTTGAATACTAGCCTATCTCTGTATGTTAACTTATTAATGTCAGTTGAAAGCAAATTCTGTTTTGTAATAGATGAAAAAAAAGAGTAATGTGCTTGAGAAAACCCTGGTATTAGTTATGTTCACTTCTTATTTACACGACGCAACCGGTTGCCATGAACATCTATTCATATATTGCTAATTACTAGGGTTTATTGGGAAAATTAAGTTGTATTTTGTGTCCATAGAAAGGGAACGACTGCCAACAGTAGTCCATAGTAATTCGAAGTGGAAATCTGATATTTGAGTATGCAAAGTGACAAGAAAAATGGCAGCCAATCTACAAATGAAATTCAAAAATACGAATATTGTCATGTACTAAAATAACAAAATATGATCACTTTCAAGATAAATGAGCGAATTTTCTGTTCTTCATTAAGGTGACCTCATTTTAGTAACAGTTGAATTGAACTTTCACTTCTCATACATAAAATGTTTGGTAGGTGCGTTCAAAATTTAGTTCAGAAATGTTAAAATGTCCCAACACACCAGAGGCACCAATACACATCTATAATTAGGCATGTAAACTGCAGGATGTGTACTCTAATTACTTGGAGTTTTTCATGTTTTGTGCTTTTAATTATTTGTTGTTTATACATTGTTGGTTTTTGAAAAAATTGAATTCTGGTAATTATTTATTTTCATGGAGATGAATCTCTTAGTAATATATGTATACAATCTCTATTCAAGATGAATAATAATGAGTGAGCTAGCAAAATTCAGATGCAGACAAGATTGAAAAGATTGAGCAATTCAAAACAAAACCACCTGCCCCTGGTTTGCGATATATAATTCAAATTGGTATCGCTGTAATTGCATTTCTTCTGGGCATATAACAACGCACAACAGGAACGAATGCCATAAGTAATGAATTTATTTTGCGTTCTAAAAGGGTATCAATATCTCTTTTGTAGCTTTTATACTATTTGTTGGAGAATCAAATAATTATGTCATTTGGTGGCCCTGTTGGGAAAGGATGGCAGCATGTTAAGCAATGGATAATTACTATTTTGGTGATCTATGTAAGTTAATAAATTAATTCAGTAAAGTTATTCATATGCTTTGGCGGTTTTTAATTAATTTTTTTTTTTTTTTTTTGTTTTTTTTAATTTTTTTATTCAGGTCAAAATTCTTGGAGAATGCAAATAGGCAAAGAATTCAAGAATTACTTTTCAATTTTTTATTTTTTATTTTTAATGTATGAATCACAGTTAATTTTTTTTTTTTAAATTTCTTTGTATATACTTTTAAAACATTTAAACTTTTCATTATGAAATATATGATATGTAGTTCATTCAAATATATGTTGTGATTCAAAATAAACGTAAATAGTTGTATACATTATTCAAATGCCGCAAAAATAATATGATTATTTCTTTAATATGTCAATTCTTTTTTTATCACAGGTTTTATTTATTTATTAATCACACTTAAACAAGGTGTGATCTAATGTTTTAATACACACTTAAAATAGGTGTACTAAAGTTTAATCAACACTTAAAAGGTGGATAGTTTTAACACTAAAAGTGTATTAATTATTATCACACTAAAGGTGTGATCTAATATGCAACTTATTGACTAATTATCCAACTAATATCTAAATTTAACAACATAGGTTTGATCTAAAGATTTTTAAATCAACTAAAGGAACTAAAGTTTTATCACAACTTAAAAGGTGTGATCTAAAATTTTAATCACACTAAAGGGATAAATTTACCTAAAAGATGGATGAAAGCATTTTTTAATGGACACTATAAAAGTGGTGATTAAAAATGACAACTTTAATCACACTGCCTAAAGACCACACATTTAATAAATTAAAAGGTTGATTAAAAACATACATCACACCAAAAAAGTGTGATCTTTATCTATATTTGTAGTAGTGTGCCATTTCGCAAAGACTTGAACCCTAGATCAATGTTCTTCCAAAAACATTGATAAGTCATATTCACAATCTACAACACTTCTAACAATTCAATTATTTATGAAAGTATAAACAATTTTGAGATCAGCATCTAAATCTTCTGAGCATGTAAAGTGGCTATAGTTTAGAATGATAAAGAAGCTGGCATGTGATGAAAAATTAAATTTGAAATATAGATGAATCAATTTTGCAGGATTAGTACCATCTGCAAGGAAAAACTGATCTTAAGAAGCTCTGCCCTCTTTACACCATCCGTAGAAATTTACAGAGCAGCTGGATTGATTTCAACTCCTGTGATCGATCAAAAGGAATAGGCAGCTGATGGGAGAATAATGCATTCCCCACCCAAAATGATCAACATTCTGGTAAAAGATATCAGGAAAACCAAACTGTTCCTGGTCTTTTCCTGATATAACCTGTGTGTAAACATCAAAGAAGAAAATCCTTAGGGGAAGTCCTTTATATATGCCCATTGTATGTAAGAATCCCTGACATATCAACTACTCTAAGGAGATGTAAACCAAGAAATTTTTAAAAGGAATGCTAGCAATACATTTGTTTTGGACATTAATCACAGGCAGCTTCTTGTGTTGGTAATCTCCATCTTCTTGGAAGAACTTTGTCCCATTTTATCAATGAAACTCATAGCACTCCCGTCATCCCAAATGCCCAACTGTCACATCCATAGGATCTCAAGAGAGGATTTGAAGAAACAAAAAGATCAGACTAAGTAACTTTGTAATTAGCAATCATAAAAGTGATGTTTAATAATGGAAAAAGGGTGGAAATTTGGATATTAACAAGGGGTTACTTACCGGGAACAGGTTATAGTAGTAATCTCCTATTGTCAACATGCTGTTCCAAGAGACAAGAGACCCAAGTCCTAGAATCCAACATACTACCATTGCACCATACTTCCCCTGAAATATCATAAATAAGAACAAAAATCAATGTTCTGAATTATAATAAATGTAACTCTTGGAAGTGTAAACCATTGAAATTAACAAAGTTCGACCCACAAACCTGAAGCCTAGTTAGAGATCCACTTGTTTCAGCAATAGTCATGACTTCTTCTTCAGAACAATAATAATAATCTTAATACTGAGAGCAAATCACTTTATTGTAACATATGTTTTGAAATGTCATTTACTTGAAAAAAAAAGAAAAGAAAATACTATTGAGAAGAAGAAAGAAACATAAACCCAAATATCTGGCAGTGGTTACCTTCAAAATTGAAACTACTACACAGATGAATGCTGTACGAAATTCCCCACACATGAAAAGTTCATTTATGCTGGAAAAAAAAAGGGCAATTTCAACCAAGTAGAATGTTGATTGAAAAGCAATGCAACAATCATCAACTAAAACTAATCTTTAAGAATGCCAGAAAAAGATAGATATCTCATTTATCAAAATTTGAGCATTTCAAGGAATAAAAACAAATAAGTAAATCTATGGTTGAAAAATATTACAAAAAGGGTAACAGGAAATAGACTCATATATACATTGTAATGCTTTTGCCATGAAACGATCAATAAAGAACATAGACTTTAAAAAAAATTAAACAAATGCTCAAATAAAATACAAATAAGAACAATTTCTAGCAGCTACCAAGTAGAATGGTACTAAGAATCACAAACTGATAAAAAAACTTAAAGAATGCCAGAAAAGGTGGATAATCCATTTATCAAACTTTGAGCATCTAAAGAAACAGCTGAATCAATGGCTGAAAATATTGCAAAAATGAAGCAGCTAGCAAGTGGGTAAATAGAAATACATTTGTACATATCCAGGAAAATCCATTGCCAACACTGTATACTCAATTCAAAAAATTTAATAGGTATTCACAGCTAGCATCTTATTATGATTTTAATTGGCTATGTGATAGAGATACTCACAATATCTCCAAAGTCTGCAGTAGTCCTTTTGGTTGAAGGAATCTTGCCACTGAGTTCATTGTTATTAAAAACCCTGCTCAAATTAATTCACAAGATGACATTGAAATTAGGGCTCAGATTGAGAGAAATGGGCCTGCCCAGAAATTCAGTCCAACATTCCTCATCATATTATAAAATTAAAAAAAGAAGAGAACACCCATTCTGTCAACGGTTAAAAGGCAAAATTGAGTGGGACTTGTCATTATATATGAATTCATTCAAACGCATATTTAAAATATTATTCTCGTAACAAATGTTGTTCTATTTGTCACCATGAAAGCTTGTTGCATATACTTGCCATACGGGTAAGCAAATTGCATAAATGCATAACCTGTTGTTCTGTCATTCAAGTGCATACCAGAGACTCACGAATAAATAGCTGGTTCAAAGGAACTCACACATGTATCAGAGACGTATTTGAATTGAAATAATTGAAATATTCATACATAATGAAATAATTGAAGTATAGGCCAAAGCATGCAAATGCACAATAAAAGGTAAGCCATACTAGAAGATTCAGTACATGCACAGTTCAGCAGAAATTTTCTGGAATGGAAACATGATGATCTGAATTAAAAGATTGAAGTTTATGATGCAAGATTTAAAGGACCAAAAAATGGTTCCACGCTCAATTTTTTCTCATCTTTTGAAAGCATGAAGAGGGAGTAAGTATGTTCACCCGGAGAAGTCAGAGGGTGTGGGAGCATTTGTGCTTGAAAGGTGCAAATATTAGGATTTTATAGGAAGCTCAAATAATACATATGGCCTAAATAATTTGAGGAAAGAAATATAACATTTTGCAATACTATAAAATTATCAATGGAAAATTTTGTAAAGGAAATATTTATTTAAAAGGTTCCCATCGTATACATAAAAAAGTATGTAAAAGGTCTTAATTAATGTCCTCAATTTAATTAATCTCAATTATGGCATGACATATCACATTAATTTCTGTACATAAAAAGGTTCCCATCGTATACATTCTGCTCATTGAAAGTCTATTAATTGTTTTCACCCAAATCTCATCCTAGGCCTAGCCCATAGGAAAGACTTAGCTGCTTTGATATTGAGTGATAACTTGATAAGTATGTAGGAGTTGATTTGGAGTGCAACTACCCTATATTTATAGTTGATGGGTAGAACTTTGTACCCATTATCTTTGATCTTTGAAAATGAAACACATACAGTAAACATATTTGAACAAAGTCCTCTAGTGAGAACCCATCATAAGCATCAGCACTTCAAAGGTTGCATTATTATTACACATCAACATAGAACTCAAAAATGTTAATATTCATACATAGATGTGTGTATATAGACACATAAGAGGGGAACAAATGAGAATTAAGTTACCAACACTAAACAAATAGTCGATTTAATCAAACTTCCATAAAATCGCTAACTTCTATATAAACAAATAAATAATCACCTACAAAATCAAGGAGGTCTCAAATGCATGCTATATGAAAGCAAGTAAAAGCAGTTTGGGAACTTAAATAAACAGTGAGCAATGGTGGTACAAATAATAACCTTGATGTAATAATTAATAATTATCAGATCAAGAACCTAACCTCTAATTCAGATATGTAGGCTTCATTTTCCTCATGTTTGGATTTTAGGATATCTGGAAGCCCGAACTTTTCCCTGAAATAGCATAGATAAAAAAAATGTCTTCAGGTCTCTTATATATATATATATATGTGTGTGTGTGTGTGTGTGTGTGTCATGCTGGAGAGAACAAAACAAAACCAAAATAAAAATAAAGGATTGCAATCATGTGTAGCACCCATATAAAATGAACTAAACAATGCCAATGCTCAGCATCCATATGAACTTAAGTTAGTACCAAAAGGGTAATATATAGATGAAACAATTGACATATCAAACTATACCATAAAATAACTGAACATGAGAGATAACCTCAGCTCCAATTGATATTTAACTTGCAATTCCAGAGTTTGCTCATCAAGAGAGGACTTCAAGGTTTGAACATGAGTCCATTTAATATGCATGCCTATCTTAGTACATATATATAGCATTTAGAATGTGGCCTCATTGGAGTATGAGCCAAAATATCATTAACTGAATTTATCTCTAAAAATTGGTCTCTAGAATACACTCCCCTGCTCAACAGTTGCTGGGCATTATTCATTTAAATGCACATTTTGATTGTAGAGAAGCCATTGACAAAATCAAAATTGGATGACAACATTCAATACTTTCTATGCTATCCAATGACATAACTGCAACCTATAAAGAGTATTCCAAGAAGAGAAGCAAAGAGAATGTACACATGAATAAAGACTTGGCTAAGAGGTGATAAAAAAGAAAATAGACTTATAATTCAAATGTCATCATAACAAATTAACAATCATTATCTTCATTGCCACCAATCATTGTCAATTCCTTCTTTCCTATCCACAATGCAAATCTTGATTAGCCTTCCTAGTCTACTGTTTACAACAAATTCAGACTGCTAGCAGAAGCAATCCAACTCCCTTTGATTCTTGCTACATGAAAAGAACATTGATGTTAAAATGATATTGAAAAGAACATTATTACTCCTGCTCTACCAGAAGCAATCCAATGTAATTTGATGTTAAAATGATATTGAAAAGAACATTATTACTCCTGCTCTACCAGAAGCAATCCAACTCTCTTTGATTCTTGCTACATGTATGGAATATATTAAGAAGTGAACATGAAAATTATTTAATAATGTTTTTGACCATGGAAAAGATTATGAGTGACTCACCATCACCCTTACAAACACCCGATATTTATGCATATGCTCAAAGCATAGAATAATAATAATCATAATAAATAAAACATTTAAACAGTAGGAGATACTAACCTTCACCAAGAGCTTGCATTTCCAATTGTTCGGTACTGGACGCCTGTGATCCATTGTCCGCTACAATAGGAGATTCTTGAGATTTTACAAAAGATGCCTATTGACATGAATTATGATGTTTAAATAGAGTTTCCATCTTGTAGAACAAGGGAAAATTTAAAGCAGTTCAAAAAATGGTAGATGTGCTGAATTAAAGATCTTTCTCTCAACTTCCGGGTAATGCAAAACTGATCATGATCAATTATATGGGGCATTTGGATGACAAAAAGGTTTGTTTCATGCAAATGCACACCTTAAATTCCCCGAATTTTATGACCATGACAGTTGCTCAAAGAATTAGCAAATGAAAATTTTTGAAACCTTATAAGCGTATTGATGGTTACTTGTATTCTTGATGGAAGGAAAAAGGCCTTGGCTTTAGTCCCATACCCTTTCCCCTTACTTTTTAGGGGTAGGGGATCTCGGGTTGGTTCCATTTAAAAAAACTTTCGTTTTGAATGTAGAACATGTTTATGTATCAAAATAAGTCTTAAAATAATATAATGCAGTCATTTTATGACCATGACAGTTGCTCAAAGAATTAGCAAATGAAAATTTTTGAAACCTTATAAGCGTATTGATGGTTACTTGTATTCTTGATGGAAGGAAAAAGGCCTTGGCTTTAGTCCCATACCCTTTCCCCTTACTTTTTAGGGGTAGGGGATCTCGGGTTGGTTCCATTTAAAAAAACTTTCGTTTTGAATGTAGAACATGTTTATGTATCAAAATAAGTCTTAAAATAATATAATGCAGTCGTTTTATGACCACGACAGTTGCTCAAAGAAATTAGTAAATGGAAATTTTTGAAGCCTTGTAAGCGTATTGATGGTTACTTGTATTCTTGCAAGAATTTAGGTTTTATAATCCATAGAATATATTATTTTGACAAATATTAAAATGGCTCCCAAGCATGAAGCAAAGTTCATCAGGACTTGTAAAAAGATCGGCTAATCATCATGTGAAGCGTCAAGGAGTCTGCATCGTGCTTGGTGTTTTCTGTTGACACAAGAATTTTTTGCAGATTTATTTTTACAAAATGATTCATAATTCCACCATGTCAACTAAAGATCCCAAAAAGCCTGACATAGAATGACAAAAAGAAAAGTAGTGGGAAGTTGGATATCCTAATATTTCCTCCCAAATAGCAGTCCACTATTTGATCATTTAGGCAACTTAACTATAAAACACCGAAGAACTAGATTTATTTCAAGAGAAATGGGTGCATAAATTCTTTCTGACCAAATTTTAGTATTCAATCTCATGTGTACTGAAAAAAATGAGAATAAACTTCTCTTTTTTTTTATTTATTTATTCATTGACCAGTTCTGAAGGGAAGAGGAATCATATGTTCAAACAGTACATAAGCGAAACCCAGTGGAATGAAGAACTGTAATTCCACGCAATTCATTATATTTAGCTCCAAAAAAATCAATTAAGAACCTAAACATAATATAGTAGTCTGCATAAAGTTCTGTTTATATTCAGGTTTCAGGAACTGCTTTCGTGGATTTATATGACAGATTTGTGATTAGGCAGAATGAGAAAATATTATATGGCTCTAATGTCATGACAAAAACATGAGCACCATAGAGCTTGAGAACACCAAGTGATATGCAAGACTCAAGTTCTTAATCAGTGTCTCAGAATATGCTCAAGTATCTGCCACCAAATACTGACTTTGGCATTCAAAAAAAGTGAAATCGGATAATTGAAAGAACTAAAACAACTCCTTAACAAGGCACATTAGATTCCAAATTATGTTCTCATTTTGCATACCATCATTATCCATCTTTAAGGCAAGATTATCACTTCTAAACAAGTTTCAATCATAATACACCAGTTTAATACCTTGCAGAAGATGAAAGTTATGACTCTGTCATTCCTGAAATTGTAACCTTGGAAGTTTCCATATCATTGAGATCAATAAAGATCACTCATTACTGTTCTAGTATATAGTTTGAAATTGAGAGCAGATTCAATCCTTTGTGCACATAATCCAATTTTCCTCTGCTGGGGATTTATCATAAAATACTATTTAGTGCAAAACTACCACAGGGAAAAATAGAAGAACTCTTCTACTACCACATCCATGAGTTATTCATATGAAATATATCCATATAAAATTCATCCACCCATGCAGAATAGTAGTTTTATCTCTAGGAAAGTTTCTTCCTACAAATTTATAGGTACAAAAAATGAGAAACCTTATTATTATCAGGAAATTCTGCTTTCAAGTTCTTTAACCTCTTTCCATTTAATTGACAGGGTTGCAGGATGTATGCCGCTATGTTTACACAATATAGCTGATGTACAAGTGTAGACTTTTGTCAGTGACGAAACACCTTTCATGACTCTCAATTAAAGCACTCAAACCTCGGAGAAATAAATTAATTAATTAACTAAAAATCCAAAATGTATGGATTAATTAACTAAACAGCGCAGTAGTTTTATCTCTAGGAAAGTTTCTTCCTACAAATTTATAGGTACAAAAAATGAGAAACCTTATTATTATCAGGAAATTCTTCTTTCAAGTTCTTTAACCTCTTTCCATTTAATTGACAGGGTTGTAGGATGTATGCCGCTATGTTTACACAATATAGCTGATGTACAAGTGTAGACTCTTGTCAGTGACGAAACACCATTCATGACTCTCAATTAAAGCACTCAAACCTCGGAGAAATAAATTAATTAATTAACTAAAAATCCAAAATGTATGGCATTAAGAAAATTTTACTACCATTCAATCCAAGTTCTCTAGATGTGGGAACCAATTCAAGCTCTCGTAGAATTTCCAATAGAGAAAACTCAAATTCATCCACAAGAGCCTAAAAATTGAAGCAGTTTTAATTCAACAACACAAAATAGTTAACTAATGCATTTAGTTGTATTACCTTCTTAAGGAAACTAAAACCCTAAAATTGGAGTTAATCAATGAGTTCATGTTTTTCCACATACTCGTCGTACACCTAACCTAATCATTATTAAAATGCCTTTATTCTCATTGTTAATAGGTCTACAGTTTGAAATGCCCAATTAAGATGCGACGCAGAGAGACAATAATGTGTTTGGTTATCTTGGAAACGACTTTACTTGGAAATGACTTTAAAGCAACAGAATCATCTAGTAGCATATGTTGATCATCTTTGACAGTAAAAAATATTTAATGAAATTGTTGCTTCAACTTTCAGATTCATTGAAAATGATCTTGGCTTTGAGTCACATCATCATCACTTTCTACATCTTTTAATTTTGTGAATGCATTACACTCTTAAAACTTTATTTAGATGCGTTTTATATAAATGGTAAAATTAATATCACATTTCCCTAATTGATTAACTAACTAACTTCAATCAAATATGAGTTCAGGGTATCCTCAATTGAAAAATGCAAAAATTATATTATCATAACAACTTCAAAGCTTTCTCAATCAGAGGTTATGAGATTTATTGTTCGCGTCAATTAATTTCTTAAAGAAGAACAAGAAAAAGAAAGCGTTGCTATTGATTCTAATCGTATCTAAGGTCAAGAGCAAGGCTCACAGACTGTGCATTTTGTAGTCATTGCTCATAGAGTCAGTCCATTATTGTGAGAAGTATGCTGTTGAAATTTTTTTACTACGTAGTTCCAAATTTAAATTTTTCGCCCCCATGTAATCCAAATTCAGTAAATATTTTCTCAAAACTGCAGTTCAAAGCTTCTCAATCATGAGTAACACTCAATGAATAACCAGCAACATTGGCCATTTTTTCATATCAACAGTCTCAGCTCCAATAAGTAATTGTCTATCACTGGAAATCAAGACCTCTCATATAATTTAGTAAAACAATACTTTAAAGTTCCTACCAAGAACTTAATTTAAGAGCAAAGACAACTAATCAAGACCTCTCATCCTATATTTAGTATAACAATACTATAAGTTCCTAAAATAACTTAATTTTATGAGCAAAACGTTTGATGCCCTTGTTCCAGCCACTCTTCACATTACAATGCAGATCCATACGAACGCAACAAATACAGAAAGAACAAAAATAACCAATATTTTCCCTATAATATTTACTTGTCAAGAGGATATTGATCAAAATTGATTTAAAAAAATAATCTATAGCAAGGAAAATTTTTGCCCTGATGAATTGTTATGTTCTGATTTTTGACAGCATAGAGACAAAATTGGATGACAAAACAATCAGAAACAAGACCCATAATAAACTCATCTTCAGTTTCATAAATAGCATATACATATCACCTAATTAATAACATCCACAGCAAAAAGAATAATACAAACAAACAAAATTCAAACAATTATCAGAGAAAATATAGATAAAACAGAGCACAAGAAGCTTAATTACTTACCATGATTTGATCGAGCTCCTTATCATCGCCAATGCTACCATGGCCGAGACCCGAATACTTCCCCACCACGTGCTGCGATTGAGCGAACTGAGCGTCAATCCTCGGCAACTGATCCACCGGTGTTGCGATACGCAAGCACGTAACATGAGCCGATAACAACTACTCGTAAAGCGGATGCGCCAGAATTTCAGATTTGAGCCTAGCACTCTGCCAATTCATAACTCCCTCTCCACCACGAACATCGCTCCCTGTTATCTCTCCTCCATTGTTCTCCACTTTATTGTTGTTCAAATCAGCCGATTCGTACGATATCGAAGAAACGGACCTCGTCGGTCGCTGCCTTCCCTTTCCTCGATGTCGCCTCCCCTCGCCTAGCTGCCGGAGTCGTCTGCTGGAGTCGTCTACCGGAGTCACATCGCCTTCATCTCCATGTCGTTTCGTCTCTGCATCTCTCTCAAAGACGGGTTGGGTTAGGGTTATGCAACAAATGAGCGAGAGGAAAAGAGGCTGAAATTCAAAGGGAAAAAAAATACAAAACGATTGAGAGAGAGACAGAGAGAGATGAGCGCGACTGAGAAGAAGAAAAATGAGGGAAATTTTGGGGGGAATTTTGGAAAAATTTGTTAGGTTTTTTTTTTTTTTTTCAAACGTGGCAAATGGGCGGGTCTGAACGAGTCAAAATAGATTTTGTATTAAAAATTTGTTTCAATTTTTGAAAATTATTT